ATTAGGCTGAAACCTCTTTTACAAAAATAACATAAACCTCTATTATAAGAAAATAACATGATTTCTTATAACTCAATAAATAAACAACTAATTTACATAAAGGGTGATATATGACCACACAAAAAAATACAAATGGGACCAAAAAGTCCCCACATATGTATACATACATATATACATACATATATACATATATACATATATACATATATACATATATATACATATATATATATATATATATATATATATATATATATATATCAAACATTAGCCACTACTGATTAATTAGTTCAAATGAAAGAACCCAGCAAAGGAATTGTTTGTCTAATCTTGAAAATCTGCATATCATTCTCTAATGGTGTTAAATTCAAATCCAAAAACAAAACTTTGTTGCTATTCTCCTTCTTCCTTTTTGTATGAACACTACAACTCAAAGTTGTAATAGAACTTTGCATGTTTGCATTTGAAATAGATGGTACTCTATGACGTCTCATATGGCCTCCCAAAGCTTGCCCTATTGCAAATTCCAAACCACAAATGGAACATTCATGAGTTTTAGGCTTTGGAAGAGTAGTTGAATCATTATTAACCATTTCCTCTCTTTCTTCTCCCATTAACCTTACCTTCTTATGGCTAGCACGGTGGCCACCAAGTGCTTGAAACGATTGGAATTTCCTGTTACATGTTTTGCACTCAAACACACACTTGTTGTTATTGTTGTTGTTGTTGTTGGAAGTGTTGAAATAGGTTGTCTCAAATTCACCTCCACGTGAAAATAGCATCAAATAGTTGGCCATGGTTGTGATATCAATTTCTCTTTCTCTCTTCATCATCACAAATATTCAATATTGGAGAATAAAAATTAGAAAAATATTAATGTTGTGCAAGAAAGGTTTAAGGTGTGTGGAATGGAGTTATGAGAGTTTGAGGGATGAGATATATATATATATAGAGGGTATAGCTAATGTGTTTGACATTTCTAGTTTAATGAATGATTAACTTGTGAATTATGACTTTCTCTTATATAAGCAAGTTGAGGAGTAACTTAAGTAATTGGTCAAGTTATTTGTATATCAGAATTTCAACACCTACCAACATGCATATATATTACTACAAATACAATTTTTATCTCTATTACACACTTATTTTTTATATGAATATATACAACAAAATGAACACATTTAATGCGTTGAACTAGGGCAAACTTATCCTTTGACTAGTTGTTTGGTTTGGTATGAAAGCAGCTTCCCTAATGGGATATGTGCAGAAGAAAATGTAGCTTCACTGTTTAATTACCTAATTATGTGACGGTCCACGCTTAAATTTTTCTCAAGCTATAAACAATTTTATCATTTTGAAATATTTGATTGTAGTAAAAAATGCTTCTAGTTGGCAGCCACGATTATAAGATTGGATTTATGGATTGGATATCGCTGGTATTTGGAAAACTATTTTTCTTCTAGAATATATATTTGTGTGACCAAAGAAAATGGAAAATTATTATATGGCAGCCACGTTGAGATATCATTAGGCGTCCCTATTTTTGACTTTGATGGTGAATTTTATGACTGGTGAGAATAATGTAACTACCCTTGCGGGATGCATGTCCTATAGAAATGTATATTGTGTATAACTAACCTTTGGGGTGGATGGGAAAACGTTATAGTCAACCTCCATAGCATAATAAGGGCTATCTAGTGGGTGAGTGGAATATGAGGATGATAGATTTACATAAGAAATAGAGAGGTTTTTTTATTAGATTCAAGTTGCAAAACAACAACCTTATTCTTACAATTTATTTTAAATACGTGAGGATCTTTAAGGTGAATTCTTTCTACAACCTTTTTCTATAGTTTGTTTGCTTGTTCATCATTGATTCCTATGGATGCATGTCCTTTCTTCATTGTAAAATAGTATACTTACTTTTTGAACAACTTTATTCTAGTATGGTATATAGATGTTGCAGGATTGTACTTGAATATTTATTGAGGAGAGATGAAATCTAGTAGCAATTCAAATGAAGGAACAATAATATCATGGCTGAACCGTTTCAGTAAGCATGGCATATCACAACATTCTTTACTTATGGTGGTTGTCTAGATTCATTCCTAAGCCAACCAACAACATTTGAACTGATATATAATCAATCTAAGTCATTAAAGAGTACCCCTCTTACTGAATTAATCACAAGTCACAACAAATTCCAACAACTAAATGAAAAACAAATTTCAAACACTAACTTTAAAACATGACTTCTGCACTTGGGAAAATACATGAGGAAAAATACATGCTCCCATTTATAATGTCATCAAATAACTTTACCACCCACATCAGTGCAACTGTAGAACCTGTACCCCTCTTACTGCAGAAGCAGATACTGATTCTTTTCATGAACCGCAACAAGCCGATTTTTGTGCAGCTTGACCACCGCTGGCATCCTGGTCTGGTTTGTTAATCTTGATAGTCTGAGGCTGCACCATCACACGAGAATATCATCATTCAGCAATAAGAAGGAAGCAACAATTCTATGCACTTACTTTGCAAGATAGCATCAAAACGTCCTAAATATTTCCTCAATAAAAGTTTTTCTTTAAAAAGTACTTGATACATGATGGATGAAATTTTATTCTTTCAGAATCGAAAACAATTCATACTGAGGAAAGAGGGATCCACTCATGAAGCAATCACAATTTTCAAAATAGAAAAAAAAAGGGCAAAGAAGAGTCGAATAAATACCTCAGCTCTAGAATCTGTGTCTGCAAGCCTTTGCTTGATGTCTCTTGCTATTGAAAAGAAAACCTCCTCCACGTTCATGTTTGTCTTTGCACTCTGCATTTTTCTTCAATATAAGTATAAAGAATTTACATATAATTCAATGAAAATCTGATTCACAAGCATGTTGCCACTCACGGTTTCAAAGAACTTGATTCCATACTCATCAGCAAGAGCTTGACCTCTAGAGGTTGGCACAGCCTAGAGGAGAAAATGAACACCTTTCATTTGTATCAAAAGGAGAATAGTAACAATAAGACAGATGAAAGCAGGCAAAGACATTGAATTACTCAATGTAAGAGTAGTAAACAGATGTAGGTTGAGCAGTGAATCAATCATGCAATAGATGCTGAGTAAGTTGATTTTAAACCCCAATTAAGCAAGATCAAATATGCAAATAGTAAAGGACCACCAAATGAACGTACCCTTTTACTTTCATCCATATCAGCCTTGTTGCCTACAAGTATCTTGTTTACATTATCAGAAGCATGTTGTTCAATGTTGCGTATCCAATTCTTAATATCTGGCCATAAAGAAGCAAGCTACATTCAAAATTGAAAGGCATGCAAATTGGACAGAAGAAGCTCATAAAAAGAAAGACAAATTTGTCTACCTAATTTAATGTAAATCAAAGAGGAATAGAGAAAAAGGGAACAACAACAAATGAGAGAAGGAAATGCAATATACTAGGTCAGCCAAAACCAAATTATTGGAGCATAAATAAATCAAAACATCATAAAATGTTCATTGAAATGTCTTTAAACTTCCAATGAGACTAGGGAAAAGAGAATACTGTTGAAAGATGCTTCATCAGTAACATCGTAGACCAGCAAGATGCCCATGGCTCCACGGTAGTAAGCTGCAAGATCACATAACATTGTAAGAAACTTTTCTTTTATAAAAAAACAAGCATGCGATAAAAGTACAAGATTTATCTAGAGACTGAAAAAAACAAAACTGGTCCAAATGCAATTAAGATTTGAGTATAATACGAACGATTTATATCACTATTCCTTTAAAAAATGGGAACATCTGCACGAACGAATCATTTCTTGTGAACTTTCTCAAACTTAATCAAATATCTGATAATGCTTCCAAAAACTATTTTCCTTTAAGTGGTCATTTTCAATTAAACGCAAATATAATAGTTCAACTAACTCCTACAGGAATGCATGTAAGCAGATGATATGAGCTTATAAGTTAAACCCGGTTTACCCCCTTTCCCAGCGTATGAAACGAAGCAGAGAACAGAAAGTTTCGACTTCTGAGCTAGGTGCACAAGACAAAACACATACCTGTGGTGATAGTTCGAAATCGCTCCTGACCAGCAGTATCCCAGATTTGTAATTTAATGCGTTTGCCATCAAGTTCAATGGTTCTTATCTTAAAATCAATGCTGCAATATGAATTATTTGAATAAGATATAACAAAAAGATACATATTTGCTTGTGTATAATTATTTATGTGCATACAGAACAGGATGTACTAGGATGAATGCTATATCATGTTGTATTTGGTTCCACCCCTAAATCCTTCCTTGCAATGTTTGCAAAAGCATAAGATAATGAAAAGATGAAACATAAATGCATGCTCTTGATAATATGCACAATAAACAAGGCAATAAAATATGCGGTATAGCATTTTTAGAAAAGTAGAGATAACAGACCCAATAGTGGTGATGAAACTAGTAGTGAAGGAACCATCAGAAAACCGCAAAAGCAGACAACTTTTCCCGACACCTGCAATTAATAGTTTTATTTTGTGTCAGAAAATCACACAAAAAAGGACAACATGCTCTACAACTTTATTATACATAAATCAAACCCTTATTATTATTATTATTATTCGATATGATGCTAGGTGGAGTCGGCTACATGGATGAATCGATAGTATAAAATAAAAAGGAAGGAGAAATAATTGGGTTGAATATGGAAACTAACCACTATCGCCAATAAGAAGAAGTTTGATGAGGTAATCGTAATCAGCACGAGCTCTAGAAGGTGCTGATGCCATCGATTACTTACTTAACAGATCGGAAGAAAGAAAGAGAAAGGAAAGAAAACTGGGGTTAAGGAGTGATCGGCGACATGATATCAGAGATCATCATCATCATCATCATGAGAAGAAGTTCCACTTAGATATTCCTACTCATGCTCGCACTAGATTCTATAACCTGGCTTCGGTATGAGTATTATTAAGGATACAATTCAATGATTGAATCATCAAGGGGTCCATAGCTCAGTGGTAGAGCATTTGACTGCAGATCAAGAGGTCACCGGTTCGAACCCGGTTGGGCCCTTATTAAATCATTTTTACGTTTCAACATTGAAAGAACTATTCAACATTATTAGCTATATATAAATTAAAATTATAGAAATAGAGAAGGGAAGGAAGAGTAGATAAGAGGAAGAAGGAGGCTATTGCGATTATAGAACTAAATAATTGTGTAGTATGGTCATTTGTGCTTCTACTATTTTGTTTCTATCAATCTATTATCTATGTCATAGTTAAAATAAACTAAAAGAATGAGAGGTATGTGAAAATTATAAAAGGTTTGCATAGAAGTACAAATTAGATTAGTCAGTGTAGTTTTGACAAACCTAAAGACTAAAGTAATTGAGAGTAATTCTCTCTTTTTAAAGAGATTATGTGTCTTAAAAAATTCTTTTAAGACAACATTTTGATTTTTTGTACACATACTGACTAAAAGTTTATACACACAGTATATCATTCATTGGTATTAATAACTTATACACAGTACATCATTTTCTCTTCACTGTGATTCAATTGAAGAACTTGGTGAAAAAGAAATGGAGGTTGTAGAAGATGAATTAGAAACAGAAAGGATCTATTTTGAGGATACACAGTTAGGTTTAAAATCGAACTCAACTTCACCATTGGAGAGAAAGAGGGAAACGAGGTTGAGATTGGAGGCATCGAGTCTCACCGTCAAAAAAGGAAGAAACTTGGGCCAACTTGGGTGTTACTTCCAATGTTGGCAATGGCACCTCTTTCATTGAACCCTTGAGGCTAATGAGTTTCTCAAGGTGATCTTAGTGACACTTATGGTTGAGTGACAATGGTGATAATTTAGGTGTACAAGGTTTAGGTGTAGGAGGAAAGGAAGTGAGGAATGAGTAAGACTTTTGGCACTCAAATATATATCTACATTCCACTTTAATGTAAAATAAAAACAAAGCTTATGAAATATATTAAAAGAAAAGGAGTTTGTGTGATGAATTCACATTCCAAACTGCCTTCCACAAAACAATTTCCACTATAAAACACCGTAGTATCTACAGTGTAATTTCAAATACATGTTACAGTTTTCACGATTAATTAAAGTGCTAAATCATAGATATGAAAAGAGGATATATTTACAACAACAAAAAGAAAATATAGGGAGAGTTTGGGTGCCTCTAAAAGTAGGCATCACATGATTCCCCCATCAAAAGATTTTGTTGAATTTGACAACATACAAAACTTCTTTATTTTCATGCAATGATCTGTTTGCCCATTTAAGAAAGCAAGCATATTCATGAATGACAAAACTGATGAAGGCACCGTAGGAATCTCATTCTGTACAACAGAAACAATCTGGTGAACTACTGCACATAGTTTCTTTTAACGTAATGAACACCAGCCAGCAACTGCATCAACAGGCGAAAACATGTCGTGAAATGTTACGGGCATTTTCTTCCATCATGTGAAATCAATTGTCTCATGTGAAGGGAGAAGGGTTATTTGTGAATCATACATAAGCCTGCAATAGAGAGAAAGAAATACCTGAGGACATGTTGAGACCTAGATCAGCAACATTTCAGCTGCTTAATCAAAATCAAGGATGTTCAGAACCATCCCTCAACAGAAGAATGGCTTTCACCTACCACGCAGACAAAAACCTTCATCTGAATAAAAAACTTCAACAGATTTTCCAAAGTGAACTGTCTCTCAATGGCTGAAAGGCGTGCTGAAGATGAAGACATGATACCGTATCATCAAGATGGCTAACAAGATAAGTAATATCACTGAAGAGACAGAAAGGCATTGAGAGAATCAATCAAATATTTTATAGAAATTACTAGAACCAATTTTACCACTTCTCTAATCAACACTATAGTCTATTCCAGCATGTTGAAAATGAATCACAATTTTGTTTTTGGGAAGGAAGCGTACCAAGCTAAGTATGTCTTTGTAGGTGATTCAATCTCAGTCATTTGAATGATAGATGACGAAATTTCCTAAGAATCAGATATGATGATTCCTCATACCACTACTGATACTACTCCAAACAAATATAGTGCCCCAGAAAGATATGTCATGAAGATCACAAGTCAAATCCAAGATCATTTGCCAGTTGAAGTATGCCACGCATTTGAAGGTAAGGATTTTCTAACAGTTTCTCATTGTTGCTCTGTGCAATTTCAATACAACACGTAATCATATAAGTGACAAGTTAATATTTAGTAATTCAATGAACTGCATGTAATAGAGTCCCTAGAGAACTTTGTTTTTAGCTTAGAACTGCATAGAGATATTAACAACAGGATTTTGAAAATTATGCCTGTTTAAAATCAAGATGAACAATGTTAATCTCTGATTTATTGATTGTAGAAGAGGAGCTCCAAACAAATCACTGAAAAAGGAGGTACCTGCTGAGCTTTAACAACAACATTCTGAAGCATGTGTTGATATTTCTCTGGCTTCTCAGTCATCATTCGCTGAAGTAATAAGAAATCATTACAAAGGATGAAACTTAAGGAAAAAATACTTATATACACAACAACAAAAAATGAAAACAAATTCTTGCCTTCAGAAGAAAAGCAGAAGAAAAATATGCCACCCTTGAATCTGTGTCATCCAAAAGTTGCCTGCCAGATACAAGGAGATCCATGCTTTATAATTCAATGTAAAAGGTGATAAATAAGAATGCTGACTAATTTACAAACAGAATAAAAGTTTGGAATCACCTAAAAAATTGTTCTTCACCAACTTCCTGGAAAGCAACTGGATCAGCCATGCATTTACCAATGAGAAGTAAGAGAAGGGTGGCCCGGATATCAGATGTTGCACCAGGAACGTTTCCTCTTCCTTTACTTCCAACAGAAACACCCAACGCAATATCATCCGTTGCTTCTCCAGCCAATTGCATTAGTGGCCAATATAGCAAGTCAGCAGGAACACGTGCAATTAGTTGCATTGGGACAATGGCTTGTCCTTGGAGAAGAAGTGCTGCCATTGATGCAGTCTTATGATCCAGATGGTAGCTACTAGGACTGTTGGATCTTCTATCAACCTCTTCCTCATAAAATTCATCTAAGTGAAAAGTATCTTGTTTGAGGACACCATTATCACCATCAATTTTTTTGTTTCTATTCAAACAATTTGAATTTCTATCATGTTGCATATCATCTCCACAGGGCGGAGCCAAAGCAGGGGGGACTCTTATGCATAATTGGGAGAATAATATGTCACAGACCTGTTAAGAAACAGGAGTTGAGAAAAACAAGTCTAATATGCCAAATAATATTCAAACTGAACTGGTAAAAACATAAAACTCCCCAAACATTGTTCCAAGGAGTCATATTATTATGAATGAAGCTGTATTTAAAATTTATTAAGTACAGACAAATAATAAATACCAAAACAAACATGTCTTTCAGCTACTTATCCACAACTAGTACGAACCTTGGGAGAACCACACCTCAAAAGCTAGCCATTGTGGTTGGAAAGACCAAGGCCATATAAACTATCAAGTGTTGAAGTCCCCTATGAGATAGTTTTTGGGGTGAAATTAGGTTTAGTTTCTAGTACTGTATTAGAGTTTATCCCGATGTTGAGCCACTTGCGAATTTCAGTTTTGCAAGCAACATGCTCCAAATGTTCCAGTCTTGGATGTGAGTTTGTGTTTGTTAAGTTTTAAAAGTCCTACATCAATTGTTTTCTGTTTATAAAAGTAAACCATCTATAATAACTCGGGCAACACTCCACTTGCAAGGCACAATCAGGCTTAGTTATTCTAATATAAACCCCACACAAGAATCTCACACTTCCAATCTGGGACTCAAGTTATATACCTTGCAATCGGATGCTAACATCCCACCATGCTCTCAAACCCCAAGGCAATATGGGCTGCCTGTGCAGTAGCCCTTTGCTCTGAGTAGCCTCCAGTCATAGACCCGATGTCAGCGTCAACTGCTCGATTGAGAGACATGGCAAAAGTCTCTTATACTAATTGATACAACCATTGGGAAAATCATACCCAATGGAGAGCCCAAGGTCATGTAAAACCCTATACCTGAATCCCATATTTCTAATGTAGGACACAAGTTTCATATATTGTGATTACATCCTAACAACAACCAATGTGACCTCAAATTCCGTGGATAGTAATTATGATTTATTATGAAATGCTTCTTGGCCTGAAAATAAACCCACTTCCAAGATTTCATTAATTATCATTTAGAGACCATGCTCAATCAGCAGTTTAAGAACGGGATAAGGGCAATGCGAAGTTCCTATCAAAATAGTTTCTCAATAACATCTGACTGGTAAAGTATGATGCTGAATGGTTCTTCTTTTTAATTGATAGCACAAAGAACGTTCAGATTTACTCGCAGCAGTTTTTCATACTTAATGTGGTTCAACGTACTACTATAATTAATTATTTCTATGACATGAGGAAATTAAGGGAAAAAGGCATTGAGTTCAGAAATAATTACCTTCAGAATATTGATGCGGTCTGTTTCATACTTATTGATGCAGTCTGTTTCATTTATCTGAAACACCAAACACAGAGAACTGCTCATTATGTCAATCACTGCATGAGCTTTCTCAAGATGCCAATCTTTCTGCTCACGCCCACGATCACTGCTCCTTGATTGTTGCATTTCATACTCATCTAACAAAAATTTGCATCGCAAAAGAAGCCTTTCTAGAACAAACAAAAATCCCCATCTAATGTAGTTGCGTTTTGATTTTAGAAGTCCACACATGAGTGAAATGGGCAAAGGAGTATCTGATGTATCTGAAGAATCCTGTTTTCCAACTCGGGCAATTTTATGTTGGAAGTATTCTATATTGGACCATATAGTTCCACCTCGTTCCCCACTAATTTCAGCAATAAGTAGATCACCCAACCAGATGTACCCATTTTGACGGTAAGAAATTCTTTCAGAATGAAGAAGGGAATGTAAAGTAGCCCATGCGTGCAGACCAATGTCATTCCCTTGAGCAAAACCTTCCATATCTTCCAGAGACCGGTGAGATTTGGTTATTTGAATCATATTAGAGAACTCTTCGTCCAAATGAGTGAAGGAACTTATTATTGCATCAAGTTTCTCGGTTACAATTTCCAAGAGCTGCAAAGATGATAAATAGCACTTAAGCCAAATATATGATAAAATAGATTTGCAAATCAACTAGACATTTTGAAAAATAAAGGTGACAACAATTTGCTAAACTTTAATCAATAGGTATAATGAATAAAAAATAAACCTATATTTGAACCAAACAAGTGAAACATTCATCCTAAAATTATTCTGGGAATAAGAGCAAACATTAGGGTCAAGGGAGAAGCAGCTCAATTTAAGCACTTCCTAATTTGGCCTGTTAATCTGTCTTATGAAAGGGAGTAAGAATGAACTCTCTGATGAAGTTTCTTGAATTTAAAAAACAATTCTCTTTTATTCTCATAAATGTATATGAAAAAAAATTAATTTAAGGAAGTCATACAAGTTACTATACCTACAAACAAGATACATAATAATAAAGCATCATATTATTCAATATGAACAATAATATGCCTACGAACTAAAAAGATAAAGATAGAAGTACCGCATTAAGACGTTCACTGTTGGGATATCTGGACAGTGCAGATGCAATTGATCTTCTCAAAAGGCCCCCAATTCCTTCTACACCAAGTTTAACAGAAATATAAAATGCCTCAGCTGCATTCGTTTGAGCAAGCATAGCAGCAAGTGGTTGGATCTCCTCATAACTATACTCATTGACTCCCGTAGATATACATGTCTCATTAATTTGATGCAGAACATAGTCAAAAAGCAGAGAATACAGATTATTCCTCTCTTCTCTTGAATTTGCAAGGGAATACTGCATCCAACACAGAAGAAGTGGGGGATGGGGGAAGTCATATAAGTATAGCCAAATAGAAACTGGCAACATAAAAATCATCTTAGTTCAGGACTTCAATCTTTCACTCTGTACAACTCTTGTAAAAAAACAAAAAAGAAGAATCTAATAAATCAAACAACAATGCAAATTTATAACCGGCAAAGGAAGCAAGCAAAAACTTCATGGCACATTCATTGTACACCTTAAATATCCAATAAGGAAGAGAAAAAAGTTTAAATATTTCCAATCTTATATAGGCATTAGTATGAGTTCTCAAATTAAGTCCAAAATAACCCCTTCCCTTATTATAAATAACAGAGTTTTGCAACACTTGATATTGTCAAGTTAATTGGCATATAGGCAGCAGTATTAACTATTTATTAATATAAAGATACAACATTGCATTAGTCATAAATCCTATGCCTTACTCCCTCTCCCTGTTACAAGTATATCAAGCTTGTCGTTGAAAATATTCATACCTCGCGAAAAATAAATTGAACTCCCCCAATCAGATCAAGTTGATTCACAAGAAACTTTGGTGTGCTAGTTAATGGCTCACCAACTTCGTCAGGAACTTCATAAAACATGTTAGCCAGCATGGAAATAAGCTTACAATGAACTAATTCTGCCCAACAATTCCTCCTGCTGGTTTCTATAAGTACCTTGATAACCTAAAGGCAAGTGGTATATAAATAAATTAACAGAGAACCACAATTGTAAAGCAATGAATGTCTACATAAAGACCCAAGACAGACAGGTTTCACATGTCCGGTCTTAAAAACGTTTAATCTCTTGGCTTAATTGCATGAAGAAACACAAGTTGCATAGAACCATATATCCTAGGAGGGGAAACAAATTGTAATAAGGATAATAAGAAGACAATACTGGAAACTAACGAACAGCTGGCGACTAGAACTGAAAATATTAGGATCTGTCTTTTCATTCAAAAAACTGTTCAGTAAAGAAGAATTGAAGAAATATTTGAAGAACAAGATGACCAGAATGATTGTTTGGATAATTTAATTTGGAAAAAGGGTTTTAAAATAAAAATAGGAAATAGAAATAATTCTTTGTTGTTCGGACTTGGGAGAAAAAAGTGCAGCAGCCTAATGAGAAACAACACAAAGCAAAGGAGGCCCCTTTGTGTATCTCTCCTCCTACACCCTTTTCTTAAAAAGTTGCAAGACATTCTCCCTAATTCCAGTAATACATAACAAAAGGGTGCCGGGTGTGAGTGTGACAACTGGGGAGCTTAGTGCAGGAGATATGTTTTTGACAATAAATGAGCAAAAGACCAAAACAACAGGAGGAATTCCAGCAAAGGGTAAAACCTTTACTGTTATAGTAAATGAAGTGATGGAAGGGGAGATGGTAACCAAAGATGCAAATAGTAAGAGAAAATGGAGATTGAAAGGGGAAGGCAAAAAGGTTAAATAGTGAGAAAATGAAGATCTCTATTTCAAGCATAGCAACTATGACAGAAACAGTTCCAACTTCCACCACTAGTCTCCAATGTGGGGCTGGGGGCCATAACTGTTAGGAACGGGACCCCAAACAGACATATTGGGCCATGATATACTGGTAGAGTAAAATAAAAAGGGGAACAACATCTCACCCTTATGTCAAGCACTTGCAGTCGGTTTCTTCGAATCTTTCCTCTATCACAGACAAAATAAAGCAAACAACTAAGCGCAGATGCCCAGACAGATTCCTCCAATTCTTCAGTCTGTATAAAA